AGGCCTGTGTTCGGGTCCATGCCTTGGAAACCCTGATTCCTTGTCTTGGAGAACTCAAACTGCACCCCTGCGGGTTCGGCGCTTACCGGGCAGATCCCAGAGAAGCAGGATGCTGTGCTTGGTGTTCCGTGGTTCTGCTCCGCGGGGAAAAAGGATGAGTGTACCAGAAATCCCAGAGCTGGGGGGCACTGGGCACTGTCTGCTGAGGGGCCAGGGGCTCCCAGGCAGCTTCAGCTCCCAGATGAGGAGCAGGGGCTGCCCACCGCCCCCCTCTCCCTGTGAGGAAGCGCCAGCCCTGGGCTGTTGGCTCAGAGGTATCACAGCCGGTTTTGTGTCTGCCCCACAGTCCCACAGGTCAGCTTTAATCACCCCCATTCCATTCCTGCCAGGTGCAGGGACCAGGCCTCAGGAGGAGGAAGAGGAGGAAGAGCAGAGGAGGTGCCCTGGGTGACCTCCCCAGTCACAGGAAGGACACGTCCATCCTCTCTCACTGTTGCTCAGCCTGGTTCCACCGCCAACTATTCCTAATGACACTTCAACAAACACACAACAATCTGTCTTCATGAAAACCAGTGAATAAATTTAATTTAAAAATACTTTTCTATTTCTGGACAGGCACCACTCTGCTCCAGCTACTTCAGAATCAGCTGAAGCCTTCACAGTACCCGACAGCCAGACTGCATAAGGCTGTAATGGCAAAACACAGCATTCAACCCTCTGTGAATTTAACAAACGGCTCCCCTAACCCCTCCTCTTTATGAAGTGTAGACGGGGTCTCAGTGTTCGGCTTCTGTCCTCCGGCTGATGTGCGTGTTCCTCATGAAGGGGAAAAAGGAAAAGAAAGCCTGAAGCACACAGCTGCCCGAGGGCTTGTCCCTCTGCGTGCCCCTCGGGGCTGGGAGCAGGGAAGTGGTGGTCGCTGCCTGCTGCCCAGCACAGGAGACCAGGCATTGATTTGGGAAGTGGAAAATCTTAGAGAGGCTCTTTCTCTGCTGGCTGCAGGTCCCCACACTCTGCGCATCCCTGCAGAGTCGCGCTGGCCTAATTACGTCTTCAAGCAGACACAACTTATTTACCGAAGGTGCTGGGCTCTGCCATGGGCACGGCGTGCGCCCAGAGCCCACGGCCGGCAGACACTGCCCGCAGCACCTGCCGTCCCCTGCCAGGGAGCACTCCCAGCCTGGCCCTGGGGGTCTGCAGACACGGCAGGTCCTGCCACTCGGCCCTTCCAGCAGCAGCGCTGGGCGCTGCGTTTGTGGGCGGGTAGGAGGATGAGCTGCCAGCTCAGATCTATAATCTGTAGCAGCTTGTAAGAGGCACCCCCTCTCCCTGCCCTCCAGGAGCTAAAAACAGTCTGAAAGGTCCCTCTTCCCCCAGGAAGGAGGCATGTGGCATCCACTTGCACGGTGCAGAGTGGCTGAGGCTTTTTATCCCCCCTGGAGGTGCTGTGCCCTCTCACGGCACACACAGCCCTGGCCGCAGCAGCGGCCACTGAACCCCAGCCCACTGCCCCTGCGGCACTGGGGGATGATGAGGACAAAGCATGCTTGCACTTCGCTTTGGGATGCGTTGGAGCTGTTTTCTGAGTCCATGTTGGAGCTGGGGGGAGCCAAAAGAGGCACCCCCTGGGGCAGACGTGCGTGCAACCACTCATGTGGAAGCAAAGGTGGGGCACATTGCTCTCAGTTCTGTCTCCCAGTTTCCAGCTCTGTGATAAACCTGTTTGAGTAACCCAGTCTTGCAACACATATTTCAGCAGTTCCATCCCTTCAGCACCAGGGATCCATCCCCTGGGAAGCTGCAGAGGGCTCCTGTGGATCAGTGGGGCCGTGCCCAGGCAGAGGGCACGCCTGCCTGTCACCGCCTGCAGCCCCAGAGCAGCACCCCGCTGCATCCAGCCCTGAGTTAATTACAGCATCGGCACCAGAGACTGCTGAAATGAAAGGGAAGGATGAGCGGCTTTCTAACTCTGCCTTTATTTTCTAACCCAAATTACGGGTCACGTTGGAAGAGCGAGGCGGTGACAGATAATAAAGTTCGATGGAATGGTCTGAGTGTGAAGTGGAAAACCAGGAAAGCCTCACGTCCTGATCCCAAACTGGACACCGATATGCTGTGTGGCCTCGTCTCCTGGTTTCCTCCATGTAAACTGGGGAGCCGGGGGAGGCTTAGTCTGAGGGCATTCCAGAGATGAATTAGCTTTTGCCAAGAGCTCTGAGGATTTAACACGTTATATAAATGCGTTAGCACAGACAGCTTTTGCATTGCAGCAGCACCAGAGGATGCAGCCCGGATCGGAGCCTTGGCTGTTGTGCCAGCTCAGGAGCGGTGGGAAGAGCCCTGAGCCCGCCTGGGTGATCAGTACCCTGTGCCCCAGGCACGCAGAGTCACTGCCAGGCTCCGGGGAGCTCACCCACAGCACATCCCTGGTGGCATTCCCAAGAGATGGAGAGCACAGGGGGGCTTCTACAACCACCCATGCCACTGCAGACCCTCAGGGAGCCCCAGCCCCCTGATCCCCTGGGACCCTGAGTGTGCTCAGCACTGCTGGATTCCCCAGCCTGGCCCCTCCTGACCAGGCTCTCCAGCCGTGGCCAGTGGTTTCCCTTGGGGATTCACAGGAGCTGCGCACTGCACTGCGTGTGTGCATCCCCCCAGCAGAGCCTCGGTCCCAGGCACTGCTCTGAGAGCGCAGCTAATGCAGCCTGGCTGTTAAAGACCAGGAGAAGCCAAGGAGCACTCTGGAGATCCGGCTGGAGGTGAGGAGGAGCCAGCACGCAGAGAACCCTCCACTCAGCTTTGTTTCCAGCACCTCCCCACTGCAGGGTAGTTCGTAATTCTGTTTCCTTTCTAATCTAATGAAAATGCAAACTATGAGTGCTAATCACAGAGCACACATAGAAAAGGATATGTAAAAAAGAAAACAGCCTTCACCACCTTTGTTTTCAGTCAAGTTTATGTCAGGAATCGCATTTAGAAGCACTGGCAGATGAGCTGGTGCTGCTTGCTCATTAACCAGCCCAGCACACAGCACCGTATGACACACTACAAAACAAAAAGCACTGGAGCAAAAGGAAACTTGAGATGGAGCAGTGAGGGCATTGGTTCCTCCCATTATCCTGAAGATCTTTGTCAACATTTTAGTTTAGCCAAATGGCCACTGTATTACAGAAATATTTTGTTTTGACAGAATCATAATCTGGGCGGAGAACTCTTGAAAAAACACATTAACCCTTTCTACACCGTACTTCTGAAGAATCCTGAGAGTAGGGCAGGCAGGGATGACTGCAGCCTGACGGCATTATCTGAGACATCTTCGGATTTACAGTCTTGTCCTCTCATATTTGTAGTTCTCTTATGTTGAAAACACAGGGCTGAAACACGACAAGGTTTGTAAGGAAAATGGTCTTGGACCTTAACCGCCCCTCCTGCTCTCCTTAGGCGATCCATCAGTATGTGCGAGCAGGCAGGCCCGAGATAGGAATTCAGCTGATAAAGGGAATGCAAATTACAGGTGTCTGGGATAGTCCCTGGCCTCCCTTGCGAAGGCAGCGCCTCGCTGTGCCCCTCTGGCTGTGCCGGGCTCGGGTCTCACCGGGCCGGGCAGCACACGGAGCCTGCCCGCAGGGAGCAGGGGCTGCCCGTGCTCAGCACACGGCTGTGCCCCCTTGCCCCAGCAGCAGCCCATTCCAGCCTGCGACTGGGCAGACTGGGCAGACTGGGCAGACTGGGAGCTGCTGGGGCGCGGGTGACGGCAGCAGGAGGCACACAGAGGGTCCGCCCGGCCCCGCTGGCTCTGTCCCTGTGTCCCCAGCCCCGCTGGCTCTGTCCCTGTGTCCCCGGCCCCGCTGGCTCTGTCCCTGTGTCCCCAGCCCCGTGTCCCCGGCCCCGCTGTCTCTGTCCCTGTGTCCCCAGCCCCACTGTCTCTGTCCCCGTGTCCCCAGCCCCGCTGGCTCTGTCCCTGTGTCCCCAGCCCCGCTGGCTCTGTCCCCGTGTCCCCGGCCCCGCTGTCTCTGTCCCTGTGTCCCCCAGCCCCGCTGGCTCTGTCCCTGTGTCCCCAGCCCCGGCAATGCGAGGTTGGAGCGGTCGCTGCCCGTCTGGAGCAGCGGGCGCAGGAAGCCGGCTCCGGAGCGGCTCTGGCACAATCGGCTCCCGCAGCCGGCCCTGGTGCCAGGCCCCGGTACCGGGGCTGTCCCGGCTCCTCGGGCCGTCGCGGCGGAGCTGCGGGGCCCCGCGGCCGCTGCAGGCCCGGGCTTGAGCCCCGCCGAGGGCCCGGCCGCAGCCGCGCAGCCCGAGCCCAACAGGTTGGGCGGCTCCGGGCCGTGGGAGGAAGAATCTCTTGGGGTTGATTCAGCGAGCCGAGGCAGCCAAACCGGGCGAGGATGGCGCTGCGGAGCCAGTAGTGCCATCCTACATCCAGAGCCCCGGCCAGCTGAAGGAGCGGGGAGCGAGCCGAGCCCGCACCGCCCGCGGGCTGCAGCCGGAGCCCAGCACCGACAGCTCGGGCTGATGTTCATCAGTGACTCCCATCTCCTGAGCCGCTGAATTCTTCCGTGCCGTGTCAGTCCTGCGGAGCGGGAGCGCTGCAGCCTGCCCTGCGCCCGGCGCCGGGACCCTGTGCCGGCTTAGAGTTAGGGTTAGGGTTAGGGTTGGGGTTAGGGCTAGGGCTAGGGTTGGGGTTAGGGCTAGGGTTAGGGTTAGGTTTAGAGCCGTCCCCTGGCTCCGGCTGACTCAGGGTGAGTCACTGCAAAGCTGCAGGCGCAGCGAGGGCGCTCGCACATTGGCTGCCGGCCGCAGCTCTGGATGTAGGAGGCTGCCTTCCACGCTCCAGCAGCGCAGCAGCTCTGCTCCCTGCTCCCTCCTCCTCGCCCTCCGTGCAGGATTGCTGCCTGAGCCCAGGCTCTGCCTCTCGCAGGCGCAGGAAGGCATCTCAGGCGGCTCCGCTGCATGCGGGCTGCGGATGGCCCTGGCTCCTCTCCTGAAGGGGCTCTGCGCTGAACATGGACGACTTGGCTCTCCTTGACCTGTTGGAGTGTCCCGTGTGCTTTGAAAAGCTCGACGCCACAGCAAAGGTGCTGCCGTGTCAGCACACGTTCTGCAAGCCGTGTCTGCAGAGGATCCTGAAATCCCAGAAGGAGCTCCGGTGCCCCGAGTGCAGGACCCTGGTCCTGGGCAGCATTGAGCAGCTGCCCTCCAACCTGCTCCTCATTCGCCTCCTGGATGGAGTCAGGTGTGGGCAAAACGTCACCAGGTTCGGCTCGATCCAGAGGTCAGGGGTCCTGTCCTCCCCCGCCTCCATCAGGAGGGTCCCCAGGGGGCTACAGCTGCATCAGCACCGGCTGGCAACGAACCCCAGGCTCCACATGGAAGGGGTAAGGAGGTTCTTGGTTCTTTCTTTTGCCCACGAGCATAGAAAGGTTCCCGCTGTGTGCCCAGAGCCAGGAACTTTCTCTGTTAGCAGCACTGCAGTGTTTGAAGTGAGACTGAGTGTTTCGTTTGCAAATTTGGCTGCTGTTTCGATGTGATATTTGACTGTTTCAAGTTCAGCACAGCAGAAATTGACTCCCAGGCTCTGGAGACAAAGCCCTTCTCCCTACAAAAACTTCCGACCGGCTCTTTTCTCACAGAGTTTTCAGATGCTTCCTGGCTCTTGAGGGCATTTCAGGTGCTTGGACTTTTGGGCAATGCACTGCTTTTGACTGATAGCAATTAAGTCAGTAATTGCAGAGCTGTAACTGTTAGTGGTGGAGAAGGTATTTCCGTAGCTGCACCTCAGTTTCCCTGCACTGTAAAAGAAGGGGGGTGCCCAATGCTGCTGCTGCTCTTACTTCCAAAGTTCTTGAGTTTCACTCGTTAAAAATATTCAATTTGACTCACTTACAGCTGTACCTAGGGATGATTTACTAGGCTAATTTTAAAATTCTAAGTTGTTCCCATAATTTTCTTTAACAATACAAAAGCTTTTCTCAAATAATGAGGAACTGATATTAGACCTGTTAAAAGAGCTTGGCTGAGATGGAATTCAGGGTAGAGACTTGTGGCTTCACCTTTCCCACATTATATTCCTGGATTTCCATTTGTCTCACCTGAACTGTTCTGCACAATGTCTGTAAAACCTTCCAGCAGCACTCAAGCTTGGCTGAAAGGGCTTTGGATGGCAGAGCCTGGCCAGAGCTGGGAGCTGTAGAGGCTGGTGCCATGCCATGTCCTGTGGCTGTGAGCTGGCACGTGTGTCCCAGGGAATCTCTGTGGTGCGGATGAGGGGTCTGGACGGGTCACACACCCGAGCCAGGCACCCCTGGGGAGCTGCTCTCTCTCTGTGTTCCCCCTGTGCAGGCCTGAGCCCGAGGCACCGTGTCCCTTTCCCGGGCGCGCTGCCTGGCACGGCACAGCCAGGGACAGGCTGGGGGCGGCGGGTGGCACTGCCCAGAGCAATCTCCTGCCCACAGCACCCCGGGGAACGGGGCCAGGGGCACACTGGCAGCTCCCTGGGCTGCCACTGGCTCCCGGCAGGGCCCCTGCTCTGACCGAGACCCTTGCTGGGAGCCACCAGCTCTGCCGGGGAGCTGCAGGAGCTGCTGGGGCCATTGGTGCAAGGGCCAGACCGACAGTGACAGGCTGCAGCCACCGCTGTCCCGGGCAGCATCCCAGCTGACAAGGAAAAGGTTGTAGTTTTTCCAATTGGACTCTCCTGGCCCTGGATAAAAGAGCACAAATACACTTGTCTGGTTTTCTTCTCTCTCATTCATTTTGTGTTTCTTTAACTGGTTCTCAGGACAGGTAGGAACTTGCTGCTGGTATATAATGGCAACATCCATCCATCTATAGCTCCCAAAAAGCTTTTAAGACCAGCTTAAGACCAAACTCTCGGGAATCAGCAGAGCCAGTGAGCACTGGGGAGGCAGTGGCTGTGGCTGACTCCCTGGCACTGGGACAGACCTCTGAGCTCCCGTGCTGCCTCTCTTGGATGGGATATAAAACACATTACAGTGAAATGCTCTTACACTTAATTAGGTACTTAATTATAAAACACTTTGGAATCCTCTGCTGCAAGGTGAAGAATGTAACCTATTAGTCACATTTTGGTTTTAGTGGTTTTAAACACCTGCATTCAGGACCAGACGTTACTTTGGGTACTCCAGTGGGATGGTCATGGATTTGGAGCCTCCCCTAAGCTGGCACTCAGTGATGGCAGCACGTCACCCAGCACAGCAGGGACACATTTGAAAGTGCCCATGCAGTGCAAAGATGAGACAGTGACGAGGGTGATTTGTCAGCACCCTGCCACATGGATGCTGGAGTCCCAGGGTCACCTGAAGCAATCTGGGTAAGCAGAGACCTCCAGATGTTTGTGAACCTCAGAGCAGATTATTTTTGTCAGGAATTGCGGTGGGAGCAGCTGCCCTGCGGTGCTGCTCACCCCACCACAGCTCTCCCCTGGCTGCTCACAGCTGCAGTGCCCATGTGCTGCTGCAGCGGGAGGTCACGGCTCCCAAAACACAGACTGCTCCGATCTGCAAGGGCTGCTGATTACCCCAACACTATCCTTGTGCTACAGAGCAACTACAAGTGACGTGCCTCACACAGCTCTGCAGCCAGAGCCGCCACCCATCCCGGATAGGGGCCAGCATTCGGCTTTACCAAGGCTGTTCTATAAATAAACTTCCTTTACTCCCTGGAGCTGAGAACATCACAAGTTTGATCAAAGTTTCTCTCTCAGCAGAGATGTCTCCTTGCCAGCTCTTTGCTCTTCATGCTCACGAGCATCCATGAAGGCAAAAAACGAAATCAGTCCCCCATCACCCAGCAAGCCAAGAGCTCATCTCTTTCAGAGCAGGAGGAGCAAGCAGGCCCCCACAGAGCTGCTGGATTAGCACAAATACAGCGCTGGGTTTGTGGTCAGGAATTTCCCAGAGCCAGTTGTTAAAAAACAGGGAATTTTCTAATTACAGCTCATCCCAAGCGATTTATTTGCTGGCATTTAAATCCCTTTTGAATCCACTTCCTACGAGCTAACGTGGCTGGGCACGTGCTGGGTTTGTGCACGTGGACCCGTCCGTGCGTGAGCACGGCCTGGCTGTGTCCCCCAGCTCTGGGCCCCTGCACTGCCCCACAGCTGCTCCTGGCACCCCCCCCAGGCCTTCAGATCCCCAACATCAATGCAGAGGGGACAGGACTTCGGATCTGCAGAATCTCCGCATAACAAACTGTCTGGAATTTAAGCATAAAAGGACTTGCTGGGAGGTGTATGCGTAAATAAGCCACGCTGAAGCCTTTGAACTCTTAGGAGCAGCCCCTGGCATGTGCCAGGTGTGGCTACAGCTTGTGCTGAAGCTCCTCCTCACCTGGCTGCAGCCCCAGCGTGAGCTGGTGAGCAAACAGGCCACGTGCGCTGAGGTGTGCACCAACCTCCCACTCCTCCTCAGGGGGATGGGATGACCCAGCTGCACCCTGCACACGGCAAAACTCCATCCAGGCCCCCGAACAGATGCTTGGGTGCTGAACTTTGTCACGCAACAAGCATGGGACAGTGAGCCAGAGGAAAAAAGCTCCGAGTATGACAGCTTGCCTCGGGAAAACACGGACCACGCAGATTTAACTGTGACTTGGGCTATTTTCTCTTCGCGTGAACTGAGCGCTCAACACCCCCTTCCAGCATTTCATGGGAGATAGACAGATAACACCTCTATTGGGATAAAAATACTCTGCACTCCAACGTCCCACCTTCACACGGACGTCTATAGATAGTGCTTGCGTCTTGGTGTTTTCTTCTCCTCCAGAACCATCTCCAACTCCTTTCTGCATTTGACAGACAGGACTTGGATTGCTGGAGCTTCTTGAAGTCTTGCTCAAAGCGAACTCCGTGTTTGCACCTGGCAGAGGCAAAAGAGTTTCCTGGCCCCCTCGCTGAGCCAACCCCCTTCCCCACCCTCCCCAAACCCCCAGCAGTTCCTGTGTAGTCACAGCAAGGACCTGAAAATGTGTGTGCCCTCCCCTCGGGCTGGCCAAGCGCTCTGGGGACGTCACACCCGCCGTGCTGCCAGCCTGGCCTCTGCCTGCCACAGCATCCTCGCACCCCACAGCTGCTGGGGCTGCTGGGGTCACCACAGAGCCCCTCAGCTGGACACAGAGATGCTTCATCTGGCTACAGAATTCTGTGTGCTCTTACGGCCTTTGTGGAGGAAGGATTTGTCCCAGGTCTCCTCCACTGCCGTGTCCTGTCAGGGCTCATCTCATTCGAGCAGAGCGAGGAGCTGCTCCCGCAGTGCTGGCCCCCTGTGCCAAGCGTCGGTGTGTTTTCTCCCTCTGCATGTAGTTCTAGCCCTTGTACCCACTACAGAGAGAGTGAGGGCAACACAGGCTGAGAGTGAGGACAGCAAACCCCCCAAAATCTGCGTGAACGGGAGCCAGCACAGGGCACTCCTGGGTGGTGCCCCGGGCCTGGGTGGTGCCCAAAGACCTCCACAGCCAACAGCAGGAGCCAGTTTCCCTGGTTTTACAAAATCAGGTACCAAGCTGCAAACACATAAAAGTGTTTTAATTTGTTTCCAAGGCAATGAGTCAGGCTCAGATGGCGAGTCAGGAATAGCACAGCAGGGCTCCTCTGCGAGCTCACCTGCGCAGTGCCGTGGTCAGCCAGGAGCCCCTGAGTCGCCCTCCTCTCCCACTGTCCCTGCTGTTCGCTGTGTCCCTGTGTGCCTGCCGCTGGCGGCTGGCCTGAGTTTGTCGCCGTCCCTCCGGAGGGAAGGCTGGGAAGGAGGCACGCTGCCATGCGGCTCCGCAGCGTGCCAGGGCTGGAGGCAGCAGGTGGGACACGGGAGAGCTCTCCCTCCCTGCTGCCAGCACCAGCTCGGCTTGCAGGGCGTCCAGGCCCGCTGCCCACTGGCAGAGATGGCCACGTTGCCCGGGGCTGGCAGCGCTGGCTGAGGAGCCACATCAGAGCTCCCTTCCCCGGTGCAGGGGGATGGGGCACTGAAGCAGCAGGGACAGGGCGCAGGAGCAGCAGGAGGCAGCAGGATGCGGGTTTAACTCCCTGCACAATAAACAGCCTCTTCTGAGAACAGTGCTGCTGAAGCAGAGCGTCATGACTGGGCACGCCAAGGGCTGACGCAGTTTGTTTTCCGTGCAGCTTAAACCCATGCCACACCACTTAACCACCGCCCGGGACTGCTGACAGCAGCACAGACTCGTCTGACACAGAGCAGCGAGCCAAGAGGCGTGAGAGGGTTTCGTTCAGCCTGAGCTGGCTGGCGCCCGGTCCCCAGCATGCCCCTGCCACGTCCTCTCTTTCAGACCTGTCCCCGCTCTCCCCGTGCCCCCTGTGGCTCTGCCAGCACTCAGGAGCGAAGCCGCACTCTGCTCCAGCTCCAGCCCTGGGCATTCCTCCTGCTCAGCTGAGCGCACCCCGTGTTTCGCAGGCAAAGCGACCCAGCTGTGTGCTCCTGGGCAGCCGTGGGAGCAGCACCAGCACGAGGCCAGGCGTTCCTCTCAGGGCTGGCTGCCGGCGGTGGAGCCTCGGCGTCGCTCATCCTTCTGCATCAGAGAAGCTGCTCTGTGTTTTCTTTAGTCATTTCCTCCGTTTTCTGTGCCACCTTTGCATGCCAAAGCCAGGCCACGTGAGTGATCACACCAAGCGACGTGAGCCTTGGTGCCACGGGTGCTCCAGGGCTGCGAGTGAGCAGAGGGCATAGCTGCTCCCACTCCCTCTGCCATTGTCCCAGCAGCTTCAGCCATGCGGATGGAGCAGCACAAAAACGGCTAAATCCGTACGATTCGCATCTCCAGCATCTCCCCATGACGCCCCCAGTTGGCTCAGGAGCAGGTGGCCACCAGCATTAGCCACGGCCAGTGCTGGCCTCCCCTTTGGGCAGGCCCAGGAAGGACTGGGGCAGCTCCAGGGCTGACGTGAGCAGGAGGGACTGCCTTCGTGCACACAGTCCACGTGTGCTTGGAAGACAGGAACAATCCTCCTCAGGGAAGAAATAATTCAGAAACCACCCAACTGTCTGAACCCTCAGAATGTAATTACGTGAAGAGATTGAAATGACAAGTTCACTTTTGAAGGTTTTGTTCCCTGTGACAAGGCTGAAGTTATCTCCTCTGCCGAAATGCAGAAAAAACAGAATTGTAATGGCAATTAATTTACATTCAAATAGCTCTTTTCATCCACCTGGATCCTGCAGAGCCCTGAACTGTGCTAGCTGAGCGCACAGCAGGCGATGGGGCTCATTCATGCCGCAGAGACGTGGGCAGCTGCGGCAGGGTGTTGGAGGCAGCTCTCGGTAATCAGAAGGGATGGAGATGTCATTGATCATCTCTATAAAACACTGACATGTGCACTTCCTTCGGTGGCAGCGTGTGGATAACGCTCAGTGTAAGTCACAGCTCAGCAGGAGCATGGCCTGGGCTGTGCCCTCAGATCCGTCCTGGAGTCAGCGGAGACTCGGGGTGAGCCGTTCACGCTGAGCCTCCTGTCTCCATTCACACTCTCCTGCCTCCTGTGGGGCAGCTCCCACGAGACCGGGACTGGGATCCGTCCCTTGGGATTGACTGCGGAGACGTTCAGCGGGTCCCCCTTGCTGCCGACCGTGAGGAGTTATAACCTGCTCATTGCAGATAATCACAGAGTGCGTTTCCCTGCTGGGGAAGAGATGCCCCAAACTGCTTCCTCACACACATATACATATTTTTAATCTTTGTTTTGTGCGGAGGGAGACTCAGAGGCATTGGATGTCTGCCCAGCACAACCGATGCCAAACGCCAAAAATAGTGAAAAAAAAAGTGAAATCTTTTCTCCCTTACTGGCCTCACTGGATCCACTGAGAATGGGGACAAGGAGCATCTTGACATGACAAGGGACATGGAGTGCATCTGCCATGGCCATCCCTGCTGGCAGAGTGGCCGAGGAGAGAAAAGCCTCTCCCGCAGAGGCGGTGCCGATGCAAAGGGGGTCTGCTCCACTCCTGGCACTACCCACTGCCTTCTCTCCCTAGGGCTCCCCCACACTCTCTCCGAGCACCCCCATGGCAAGGGGCACCTGGGGCTCAGCCGCCCTGAGAGCCTGAAGTGACTCCTGGCTCTCACTCAGGCGTGACGGAAGAGAAAGCAGAGGGGAAAAATCAGGAAAAGCGAGGCGGCATCGAAAAATGTTCCAGGCACCCCCAAAAGTGGTTTCTTCGCTGTAGCTCCTCTCTCTCTGCTACTGGGCAGCAATACTCTGCACAGACTTTCAGCTGAGTTTTTCACAAGGCTGCTCCCAGGGTTTTCTCCCTGGGATGTTCGGACGGAGTCCAAGGCTGCACGAGGCACCAGCCAGCGTGCGCAGCTCTTGGCTGAGCACCCGCTGCCGCTACCACCCTGCTAAAACGAAATGCTGCTTTGGATTAGCCAAAAGCAGCTGGACATACAAACACGGGAGATGAGTCCATGAAAACAAAGCAGGTCCTCCTCCCCCTGCCAGGAGCACGTTCTGGCCCAAGAAGGCTCCCCCTCTGCCCTCAGCCACCTCCAGGCACTCCTTGTCTTTATCACAGGTTAATTAGCACCCCAGTTTCTGCCTTTGCAATTAACCTACTTTACACAAAGCCAAACAGATCCCTTGCAGAGGATCCGGGACAGCCGGGAGTGGGCAGAAAGCAGCCCAGGCTGAGGCAGGGCTCAGAGCAGCTCAGAGCTGCAGCTGCAGCAGAGAGGGGATGGCCCGTGGCCAACCCCAGCTCCAGCACCGTGGCTGACACGGCCCGCTTCAGTCGTTCTTTCCTACACCCTACAAACACCTTAGGAAACAGGGACCTTGCATGTCTTTCTGAAATCTTCAGCTTGCAGCTTTATCTTGTGACTGGCCTGTACGGTAAAAACCACGTTAGTTGCTCCTTGTGGGTAGGTAAAGGCCTAGTTTATGTCCCAAATAAAGAACCGGGAAATCAACTGGACATTTTTCGCTCAGTATCTGACAAGCCAAACAAAATTTCTTTAAAAAAATTTAAAATACTTACAGATGTTGGAAAAAAGCTGAGTTGGGCAAGGGAGATTTGAAAGGGCAGAAAAGTGTGAGGAAAGGGTTAAAGAGGAGGGCAAGAGCTGAAGGCTGTGAGTGTGGTCAGAGGAAGAAATTCACCCAACCATCCATCCATGCATCCGAGCGGAGGGATGTGCTCAGCCAGACTTAGCACCACAAACGCGCCTAAACACGGGTATTTGTCCCAGTCTGCCCTGCTGTCTCATCCCTTTGCCCGCTGAAGTGAGAATATTCCAGACTCTCAGCACTCTGTTGCTTGCTCCCTGCTCCCAGTTAGCACCAGGTATGCATTTCATTTCAGAGTTTCTCTTCTTTTCAATACGTTTCCACAACTCGTTGATGCTGCCTTTAACGCTTTGCTGTATCCTGTCGTTCCCTCACATCCCAGACGCTGCTGCTCCTCCTTCCCAAGCCCTTTGTGAAGGTCCCGTTTGCTTTCCGGCTGCTCCCGAGGCAATCCGAGGTCCGTGTCCCTCGTGCTGCTGTAGCAGCAGCCGGTGGCTCCGAGGGAGAGCTGCCGGCCGTGTTCTGCGTGCCCAGCCTGTTCTCCTCGCTGTCCAGCTGTGTTTGCAGGGAGCCTCCACAGCCCTGGCACGGATGTGATCCCTGCTCTTCCGACGGAGAGCAGCACTGGCCCAAGCCTCCCTTTCCTGCTGCTTTTCTCCCAGCGATGTGCTGTCGGTGTCACCGAGCCAAGCACACTGTTTACTGTGAGCACAAATTAAGAGAGAGCACGATTTAATTAGAACTAAACATTAAACTAATTGCTTCCCATTTCAAAGGCTTTGAAGTAAAAGCGGTACGTGAATTTTTTTCTCTTCTCGGTTCCTTTTCCCCACCAGGCATCGGGGTTTGGGGATGCTGGAAGATGCCCTCTTTCCAAAAACTGAACAATTTCCCATGGGAAATTCAATCTTTCCCACACTTCTGGAAACTAACGTTGAGATTCTCGTATCTACCTTCCTGACCTCTGAAAAGTGTCTGAGAGAGAGAGGGAGCTCTGCAGGAGTCCTGCCTGAGCCCTGGTCACAGACATGGGTGGATCTGGGGAAATGCTCAGAAAAAGGCAGGAAATCTGGAATGTGTCACTGCTACAGAAGCCTCCTGTGGGATGAGTGGGAGGGGGTGACTGTGGAGAAGCTGCAGGGCACGCTCCTCACTGTGCCTTGTCCCTGGGCGCCGGCGCCTCTGCTGAAAGCTGATCCAGGCTCTAGAGCTAGGGAAAATCCCGGCACCCCAACTTCCCAGCATGGAGCTCACGCAGCTGTGCCACCAGCTAAGAGGCCGGGAACGGAGCTCAGCATTTGGGCTGTCCCCTCAAAGGGCTGCTCTGTGCCCGGGAGCCCTCGCTCCGCACAGAGCCCTGGTGGCAGGCAGGGCTCAGCACAACAGCTGCTTCAGGGGAACTTGGCCATCTCACGTTGGTGAGTCAAGATCACAACATCCCTGCACCTCTCCTGGGTTTGGCACATCTCTTCTATGTCACGTTAAGCTGCAACAATGATAACATTAAGCCAGTTCTTCCCATAACCCAGGAAAAGGCTGAAATCAACCCACAGTCACGTGTTAAAGCAGGGACAGAGCCACGGGAGCGCAGAACCTGCACTCACCTCGCTCTGCTGCCTTCTCCTGGCGGGTGACGGCCACCAGGTCGATGGCTGTAGCCTCCAGTCCTTCTGAAATAGAAATACCTGGGTCATTAAAATAGACGTTGTGTTGGAGGAGCCCTTATAGCAGGCAGTAAGATCCCATGGGAAGACTGGTTTAAGGCCTTAACCGTTTCTTAATATTCTTAAACAAGTCCAGCCTGCTTTTCATCTTGATACAAACTTAGCATAAGTGTTTGGGAGCTTGTCCTCATTAGTAAAACCCATCAAGGAAGGATGTGGGTAGTTAATCCTAATAAATGCATGCTTAAGCCTTAGACCTCTGCATTTTTTTTTCCCCATTAATTACGAACGCTTTTGGGGAGCTCTGTGTGGGACGGGGCTGTTTCTTGTCCCCCCAGGTGCCACGAGCCAGGGCCCTGTACACCTACCGCGGGCACAACCCCGGGGAGCTGCGCTTCAACAAGGGGGACACCATCGTCCTGCTGCGGCAGCTGGATGAGAACTGGTACCTGGGCGAGCTCAACGGCATCAGCGGCGTTTTCCCAGCCAGCTCCGTGCAGGTCATCAAGCACCTGCCCCTGCCCCGCCCGCTCTACAGCCTGGACCTGCGGGGCCGGGCCACGGCGGACAGCAAGGACATCCTGACCTTCCAGAAGGTACCGCCCGCAGGGCTGTGCCCCGGCTCCTCGGGAGCTCGGTGCAGCTGCCTGGGGGTCCTGCAGCCCCTCGGCCCCCGCTGCCAGCAGCATCCCCAGGAGTGCAGGCAGGGTGATCAGCAGCATCCCCAGGAGTGCAGGCAGGGTGACCAGCAGCATCCCCAGGATCCCGGGCAGGGTGACCAGCAGCATCCCCAGGAGCACAGGGTGACCAGCAGCATCCCCAGGATCCCGGGCAGGGTGCCCAGCAGCATCCCCAGGATCCCAGCGCCAGCTCAGCGCGTCGCAGGCGGCGCTCCAGGGGCTGCGGCTCCAGAGACCTTCCAGCACCCGCTCCCCGGCAGGGCTCTGTCAGCACTGGTCTAGACGTTAATTGTGCTGGGCAGTTTAGCTTGAGATGCAGGGTGTAAATGGCACCGGCACCAGTTCCTAGAAATAAAATTAATACTTGTAATGCCCATAATTATGGCAAGCTCTGCTTTGTGGCTGTTTTATAGGAGGACAGAAGCAAAACATCTTATTTGAAGCTCTAATATATTTTTTTAAATGTCTTTTTCATTTAATGAAATAATTTTAGCTTCAGTAATGACTTCTTCAAGTCCGGCATTAAAAGACACAAGTTAGTTAAGGGATACACACAGCCACCAAAGAATTAGAAATTAATTCTAGAGAAGGCAAAGGTAGGGCTGCTTTGGGAGACACGAGGCTCTCCGGGCTCTGACACACAGTTTGTGCCCCATTTTATCATGTCTCCTGGGATTTAGATAGGCAGAAAAATGTTTCCAGTTTACTCACACACATGACAGGATGGCCATGGCACATGTGTACCTACACACATACTGTGGGCTTTAAACCTTATTTTGGAGAGGGAAAAAGAGAAAACCATCCCTCTTGTGAAGTGACGACATCTGGGAGCCTCCTGTACCTCTCCTGCCATGTGTCCCTGTCCATCCCAGGCATCCAGCACATTGCTTCCCACGAGTGGGTGAGATTCTCCAAGTTTTGCAATTCATCAATGTCAACAGTAAATCATGATTAATTCCTCTGGCACCCATTGTGGTGAAAAACACTGTCACCACATGCCCTTTGCTACTAACATGCTGATCAGCAGTTTCCAAGAAGTACTGTGTGATCACTGCCCGTATGCAAACTCGGGGCCTCTCCCTCCTCAACCCCAATCCTCAACAAGTCAGGATTTTTTCAATGGAAGCAGCATCGGGCCATGAATGTTCCAGCTGACAGAGACAGAGCTGGTGGATCCAATCCTGCTGGGAATGCCAGCATGAGTGAGGGTCCCTCTGAGCCCGGGCCATACCCTCAGCTGCAGAGCTTGGCTGTCCTGCTGCCAGATGCACCCATGTGTGCCAGCACATGTGCCAGGGAAAGGGCAGTGAGTCTAAACATCCCTTCTGATTTAGAGTTATTGAGTACAGCTCTCCCAGCACCTCTGCCAGCCAGAGCTTTGGACAAGGAGCGTATCGGGGGGAGCGCTCATCCTCAGTAACCCCTTGTCTTAGCACAAGTCTTTCAAACAAAATTTAATTTTGCTGTCAGCTTTGAATTGGGAATTCTACACCCAGAATTCGTCACTGACAACAGATGAGAGAAATGACAGAGCCCCAAGATTTTAAAGATAGCCTGTAACGCCAGCTGACCCCTGCCTGCAGCTCTGCTGCCAAATGGGAAAGGGGAACAGAGCAGGGGAGGGCTGTGCCAGGTGTAACTTCTGAAAGCCCATCCCGTTGTCTCCTGTTGTCTCTTCCAGCCCAGCAGCCCTGCTCAGCAGCTCCTGCAGGCCAGCAAAAGCCACTGGTCCCCCCAGTCCAAGGGCGCGTCCCTGCAAACGGCGTCTCCCAAGGCCAAGGCCACGGACTCGGCGGCTTTCCCCAAGGTGCCTGACTCCAGACGGAAAAGTCTGCGGCAGTTCTCCATCACCACGGCCCTCAACACCCTGAACCGCATGGTGCACTCGCCCACCGACCGCCCGGTGCTGGAGATCAGCTCCCCCGTGCTCATCAGCTCCAGCAACCCCAGCGTGGCCACCCAGAGCAGCGAGAAAGCCGAGCCCCCCTACGGGACCCCTCTCCAGGTAAGGCAGCGCCCAAACCTGGCATGGTCCTGAGGCACACTGAGCCTGGGGCCAAACCTGGCGTGGTCCTGAGGCACACTGAGCCTGGGGCTGAGGTACAGGGCCGGGGCTGTGTGAGAGCAGTGCCAGGGCAGTGCCAGGGCTGTGCCAGGGCTGTGCCAGGGCTGTGCCGGGGCTGTGCTGGGGCTGTGCCAGGGCAGTGCCAGAGCTGTGTCAGGGCTGTGCCGGGGCTGTGCCGGGGCTGTGCTGGGGCAGTGCCAGGGCAGTGCCAGGGCTGTGCCAGGGCTGTGCCGGGGCAGCGCCAGGGCTGTGCCAGGGCAGTGCCAGGGCTGTGCCGGGGCTGTCCCAGGGCTGTGCCGGGGCAGTGCCAGGGCTGTGCCAGGGCTGTGCCGGGGCTGTGCTGGGGCAGTGCCAGGGCAGTGCCGGGGCTGTGTAGGGCTCCCAGCGCACGACCTCCCTGCCCGGCGCTCCCAACACCAGGCCGGACGCATCTCGGCCCATAAAAGGGAGCAGCTCTGGTTCCTCCTCCTCCTCCTCTTCCTCCTCCTCCTCCCCCGGCTGCCAGGCCGGGCCCAGCCGGAGCCAGAAGCAGTTTGCAGGGCTGCGGTGGCCGTGTCTGTGCATGTGCCTCTTGTGCAAGTGGCTGCGGGGTGAGCAGCGGGCACCCCCGCCCTCCTCCCCGCCGCTGGGATCCCTTCCCGGCCACAGCGAGCTGATCCCTGCCTGGCAGTGGAGAGCTGGCAGAGCCCGCAGCTGCCCCCAGCACTCCCCTTTTCCTGGGGACAGAGCCAGCGCAGGGCCCGGGAGCTCCCAGGGGATGAAGAGAGCTTCCCTCCCCTCGGGGCACGGCGGGCACAGGGACCGCACTGCTGGCACGCTGCAGAGGGGGATGGAGCGACAGAGGGATTTCGGGAGAGGGAGGGTGTTAAACACTTTGTACTTACAAGGGCTTGCAAGGTACTCGCGGGAGATCAGCAAAAGTGAAAGCTGAAATCACTTATACGTGACTCGAAAATACTTCTTTCGGTCTTTTTTCCCCTCTGCATGTTGCAAATGCAAAGGCAGCTTTGAGGATGCTCTAAATGATGGGCTGCTCCCAGACACAGAGGAACACAGAGATGAAAAACATGGAGCTTTCCACCCAGAAGGGGACATTTCAGCACAGTTGCATCAGGAAAACCAGCGAGAGGCTGTCATTTTGTTCCAATGCAGAAAAAAAGAAACTCCAAATTAATAAAACAGAATTATAATTTCCAGTCAACTCTATGAGCATCTGGTCCAGTTCTGCCTGGACTAGAAAACAAGGAATGCAGAGAAGGTTTGAAGCTTCTGCCTGAAGACCTGCCACTCCAGGTCTGAGACAGAAGCTGGAATTGCTGGGGTGTTTTAATTAATTTAATTTACTGGAGAGCACCGGAGCGGGTGAGTCACTTTTCTGTTTTCCGAGGTCCTTGCCAAGCCAGTGCTCCAGCACCGCATTACAGACATGACCACTAGAAATTAGATTTGAAATGAACATGAGATTAAAGCCCCAGCTTGCATCATTAAAGATCCTGTGGTTGTTGCTGGAGAGCACAGCTGCCAGCCACATGCAAGCACAGCGGTTCCGCTGCCCCGAGCTTCCCGGGACGCTGCTGCCACCGCCCTGGGAGCCCTGTCCACAGCAGGGCAGTGTGTTCATCCTCAGCAGGGCACAGAGATCACCCTCAGCAGGGCAGTGTGTTCATCCTCAGCAGGGCAGTGTGTTCATCCTCAGCAGGGCAGTGTGTTCATCCTCAGCAGGGCAGTGTGTTCATCCTCAGCAGGGCACAGAGCTCAGCAAAGGCAGAAGCCAGAGGGACAAGTCAGAGTGTGCCCAGCAAACAGAGTGGGCACAGACCCACACCTTTGGTAGCTGGGACCTGCAGAGCCCAGCAAGCACAAGGGACACAAAATCAAACTCGGAAAAGGAACAGAAGCACCCGCAGGCAGGTCCTGGGCTGGGAGTCGTGGCTGGGTGCTCAGCAGACACTGGGCACAGGACACCCAACAGCCTGAGAGCCCCCTCAGCAGGGGGACACCAGCCCAGCTGAGAGATGAGGAGGGACAGGGAGGGGGACAGCCCAGCACACTGCTCGTGACCACACTGGCACAGCAGGGACAAGGAGTCACCCTCCAGTCCTGCTGGGCAATGAGTCTGGCACAGCACAAGGCACGGCCAGCTCAGCAGCAGAAACGGGGCTGCAGCTCCTCCCTGGAGCACCAGACCCCAGCAGGAGCACAGGGGGGACAGCAGGGTACACTCTGCAGCTACAAAACAACAGCGGGGAAAGGACCAGGTGGGGATCTGTCACAGGGACTCGATGATCCTGGAGGTCTTTTCAAGCCTAAATGATTCCATGATTCTGAGTCTTCCTCTTGCTGCCTGGTCTTTTTTTAAGTCAATAGCTCCAGACACTTCTATTTCCTGAAATGTTTGGTGGTTTTTTGAAGGGTGGGTGAAGCCAGTCAAACGTTAGCTGCTCCTCCAGGGGCTGAATGCAGCTGATAACCAGGTAAATTCTTTGTTTTCTTTGCTTCCTTTCTCCCGTAGGTCAGCACCTCTTACTACCCCTCACCAGGACCACTGGGGCCCCCGGCAGCCATCGTCACCCTGCCCCACCTGCAGCAGCACGGGCCAGCTTACCTGTACGTAAGGAAACTGAAATGCTTTGGGGGACAGGCTGTGATTTCCTGTAGCCTCAGCATGAGCTTGCTCCTGCCAGGCAGGAGGTGCAGACAGACCAGAGCACAGCTTGGATCCAAATGCAGATCCGTGTAGGAATGTACCTGGCTGGTCTAAGCAGGGGGTGGCAGAGGCCTGGTATCCCAGCTGAGTGCATCTTTCTGCCTCACTGCAGAATCTATGGAGAAATTATATTTGTCAACAATACATTTTAATTTTTTTTTAAGTGTAAAGAAACTAGTTACTCCTTTAGTGCCTCTAGTTATTTCTGACAACTTTCACAGAGTTAAAATTTGCAGATAACACCCTATGATGATTACATCAGGGTAAGATTCACCACCCTGGAACTTTAGTAAAGTGTCTAAAATAACAACAGCATCGCAACACACTGTTTACACAGCACTCAGCACCCCTGGTACAGAGGCAGGCTGTGAGAATGCTGGTGCCCAGGAGTAGCACCCACAGCTGAGCCCTGTGTTGGGACCCACACACACACCATCATCAATCAGCCGAGACTCCAGCACACACTTAATCCAAAGGACAAAAGAATACCCAAGACCTTAAAATAATTTGCAGAAGGATGGTGTGAGAGCATCCCACCGGCTGCGTGGTTTGCACAGAGGCAGTGCCAGCCCAGCACCTGCACTGCCTCCCCTTGAGGTGGCTCCTGAACAGCCACGAGCTGTTCCTAACCCCGAGAACGCCCGGAACCCAGCTGGGCTGGGGCAGACCCCGAGGGAGCAGCCCCTCACACAGCCTGGCCCAGCAGGGCAAACCTTCAGATTCTTGTCATGAACAACAGGGAGAGAGAAACCCTTCAAAGAGTTCTGGAGTAGCCCCTGACCATCCAGACACCCCTTGTGTTGTTTCTGTTTTGTAAGTAACACCTGATAATTGCAGCGTTGGGCTGTAACTCATTGATTCTTGGGGTAGATTACATCCCCCTTGAAAAAACAACAGTGCAATTAAATGTGTTACACTCGAGACAAATTCGAGTTCTTTAAAGAACAGATAGGGGAAAGTTTTGAGAAATACACCATTTTCTTTGCTGCTGTTTTGCTGTGAGCTTACACGTGGGTCATTGCAAAGAACAAAGCTTCAGCCCTTGGTCCCAATCCCAGAATCACAAAAGAGAGGTCTAGGGGGGATTTCAGACTAATTTCTAGTCTGATTTCCTCGCTGCCCTGGAGTGGACCCATGCACCTCCTCCTGCCTCCTGCTCTGTCTGCTTCATTCTCCACGGCCTCCAGTGGCAGTGACCCCAGTCCTGGTGCTGCAGTCGAGGAGGAGGAGGAGGGAGGCAGGAAGGAAGGAAGGAAGGACAAGGGTGGTGCTTTTCCCTGGGCCTCCAACACCTCCTGGTGATGCTGCAGGCAAGTAGATCCAAGGCCTCTGGTTTCAAAGGCAGAATTGCCTGATGCTATCTTAAACACCGTAACTGTGCTCTTTCAAGAGCTTTGCCTTAGGACAGGTACTTGTCCTGATCGTGCTTCTGATGGAGTACTCGCTGTGTGATGTGCAGAGCAGCAGCTGGGAGTCCCCAGCATTTGTCACCCTGGGCTGGAACCTGTAGGACAGAAACCGTCCTCCCGAGCTGCTTTGTTCTCAATTCCTGCTGGCTTTTCTTTTATTCGTATCCCTTTTGGCCTGAGGTGACAGGCTGTTTCCTCCCTGCAGGTTCTCTCCACAAACGGCAGCACCCAAACCTCGATGCAGCCCTGGCAGAAGAGGCTCCGGGCAGGCAGCAGCTGCTCCGGCAGAGGCGGCAGCATCCCCCAGCCCAGCTGGGATGCTCCAGGCAGCCTGCACGGGGCAGCTCTGCCTCCCCTCACAGCCTCTCTCCGCAGGTGCGTGGCTCTCCACTCCTACACCGCTCAGGCACCGGACGAGCTGGAGCTGCAGAAGGGAGAAGGGGTCCGTGTCTTCGGCAAGGACCAGGACGGGTGGCTGCGGGGCATGTCCCTGGTCACGGGCAGAGTCGGCCTCTTCCCCAGCAACTACGTCACCCCCCTCTTCAGGTCTGGGATGTCTTAGGTGAAACAAAAACGTGCCGAGGGAAGGGGGTAGCACGGAGAACCTGGGCTCTTCTGGTTCCCGTAGAGAACCCGTGGCAAGGCATCCCCTCGGTACTGACAGGGGACCCCCAGCACTGACCAGGGCCGGGGGTCCCTCGCCAGGCGGGATGGCGCCCGGCAGCTCTGGCTCTTCTTTTCCAGCAGGAAATCTAGTCTCTCCGACTCGAAGATGCCTTCCCTGTACACCTCATGGACGCTGTCCACCTCCTCGCTGTCCTCGCAAGGGAGCGTGTCCGAGAAGGGCCCGAGGCAGAGCAGAGCCCTGCGGCCGCTGCTGCTGCCCGTGCCCGTCCCTGCCCCCGGCAGGACCGCGGGGGCACCGGCCCCGCTGCGGCGCGGCCGCGGCAGCAGCAGGAAGAGTGAGTGCTCGGGGGGCTCTGGGGGGAGCACAGCGACACATTCTCCCAGCCACAGCGGCTACTGGGTCCCACAGCCCTGCTTGGCCCCGACCCTGGCTGCTCTGGGAATTCCGGGGGGGTTTGACTCAGCGTGGAAAAATTCCTTTCGATGCTTTGCGCAGAGCTCGGTGTTTATACTTTTTCCAAGGAGGCTGCAAGGTTTACCTTCATCCCATACACGCTGTTTTGTAATTCACTTCCAAGAGTATCTGGGGAAGGGGTGGTGCGTTCCCAGCCCTGGCAGCAGAGCCGCTCCTGGAGGCAGCAGTGCCCTGGCAGGGAGCGCTGTCCGTGGTTTTACACCTGCGGTCGGTGCCGGCGCACAGCGGTGGGCGCGGGGCGATCCTTGGGAGCTACAGCCCCACCGCATCCCGTGAGCAGGGCTGTCGGTGCGGGGCTGTAACCTTTGCTCACTCTGCACGTTTTGGATTCCTGACTAAATTCCTTCCCACGGCCCTTGCTCCCCAGACGGATCCCTGCAGAGGCCGGGACAGGCAGGGACCCCCGTGCAGATCAGCGGCTCCCTCCGGCGTCCCACGGCTGCGGGCCGGCCTCTGCACTTCCAGCTTTACCCGCACAGCATCGCTCCCGGAGCTGCCGTGGACGAGGCAACGAGGCCAAACTTCTACGAGGCTTCACCGGCGCTGCTGGTCAGGGGAGGGGAGAGCCGAACCCCCTCCGTGTGCAGCTCGGTGATCCTGGATGCCAAAGACCCCCCGGTGAAGAGCGAGGCGGCTCCAAAGCCGCCCGCCTCAGCCCCGCCGTCCATCCTGGTGAAACCAGAAACCTCCCGCAACAGCGCCGAAAAGGTACAGCCAGAACCCCCCAGAGCACCCCCTTGGAACCAGCAGTGACAGCCAAAACTAACCAGGGCCAAATCCCCCGAGGGCTTTCTCCATCCTCACCAGCTTTTCTTCCAATAGAAGTCACTGGGATTGACACATGCATTCGGAAGCGGGGGATTTGTGCTGCTGGCGCAGCTGTTCACATTAAGCCCTGAAGAAAGGCAGGACGCTGCAGGGGCTCTGTCCCTGTCACCAAGTTCAGTCACAAGCAAATCTCGAGACTTTTCCGAGGTCATAAATTGGGCAAGAATCCATGAGCTGGGGAGCAAATGCCACAGAACTAGTGTCAGGCAGAGCTTTGCAGAACTCCCCCATCCCCCTGATGTTGCCTGGGCTAAGCCAATTGGAATGGGAATTTCCCCTCCGGCAGCCAGAGAGAAATCTCATAAAGGTAAAATCATTCTGAAAATTGCCCTAGTGACAGCTCTCCCTTCCCTCAGTACCCAAAGGTGTGCCCAAATGGCTCCACACGCCCCCCAAAGCCCCGACAATCTCAGAGCTCCCGGGCAGCTCAGCATCAGCTGAGAGAGCCCCCGGCTCTGCGAGGCCAGGAGCTCCCGGGGCTCTGCTGCCTCCCGCTCTCAGACCAGCTCTCCTCGGTCCCCAGTAGCTGCCAGCACTGCTCTGCTGGTCCCTGGGGGCTCTCTTCATCAGCCTGGGCTCCTCTGCAGGCGCCCTGTACGGCGCAGGGAGCCAGCCGGTTCTGCAGGGAGCAGAGGGGAGGGCGGCCGGGGTCTGCCGGTCCCGCCTGACTCTGGCCCCTTCTCCCTGCAGCAAGTGAAGACGGTGAGGTTCCAGAACCACAGCCCGCCGCCGCCCAAGCGGCACAGCCTGCAGCCGTCGCCGAGGCTGGTCCGCAGCAGGACAGAGCCCGGGCCCGAGGGGCTCCTGCCCGAGCCCCGCCTGGGCCCCGAGCTGCTGCTGCTGTACTCGCCGCGCCTGGGCTCCAGCCCCCTGCACCCGCGCCGGGCGCTGCACCCCAAGGCGCTGTCCCTGGACCTCTCGGGGCAGCTGACCTTCCCCATCAAGAAGAGCTACAGCAGCATCTCTGCAAACTGAGCCTTCCTCCCCGCTCCTGCTCCTCTCCCTCGGCTCAGGGACCCCGCATCCTCCCGCCGCTGCTCCCGGGGGCTTTGCAGGGAGCCGTGGGAACCGCCCGGGGACCCCGCTGCCCCAGGGCTGCTGCAGCACGGGGAGATGTGGCCGGGGTCTCCACGGAACCCCCGTTGCCCAGGCTCTGCCTGCGGAGGAACGCGCGGCTGTCAGAAGGAGTTCTGCTTGTTTTGATCTCCTCAGGGCTGCGGGAAAGCCCACAGAGGTCAAACGCTGGCTCATTACCTGCCTGTCTCAGGACAAAGAAACCATTAATCAGAATCAGCTCCTGGTTCACGCTGCCTTTGAGGGGAGGGGGTCACTCAGATTTTTTGTTAGGGTGGTTGCTCGCTTGCTTTCCTTGTTGGTTTTAGCCCAGGAATTTTAACACGGAAGTCTAAAAGGTGATTTGGAGGGTAAAGAGCCAATGGAAAGGGCTTTGCCATCACTGCAGTCACCCAGGCTCTGCAGTGAAGGCACTGAATCTCCCTTCTCCTCGTTGCTTGTTTTCCTCTGATCACCTGTCAGCTACCTCCTGCCCATGAGCTCCTTCCAGCCCCTTCCCACCACCCACCCACCCACCCAGATGTGGCTGTTGTAAATACCTTAAGTGGGATTCACGGGTTTCAGATGCATGAAACATTGTCTGTGTAACAGAAAGCAGAATTCAGAGTTCACCATGCCCCAGACCCTGCTCTGCCCCAGCAGCGCCAGCTCTGGCTTCCAGCTTGCCCCAGTCCAAGGCAAGTTCTCCTGTGACCCCCAGGGAAGCCAGCAGAGCTGTGCTGGCTCACAGCTGTGCCTGCTCTCCATCAAACCTCTGCACAACGGAATTTAGTTTTCATTTTTAGTTTTCATTGCTGGTTTATCCATCAGCTGTTCCCAGCCCAGCTGCAGGCACGGGCCGGCCACTCTCCTGACAAGAGGAGCTGTGCTCCCTCCGAAACTGCCCAGAAACCCCATCCTTGGTTTTACCTGCACACTAACCCAGGGAAGGAACTCCACTGGTCAGGGGAGACTCTCCCTGGCACAGCCTCAGAGAAGGACATTTTCTCCTAAATCTACACAAAGGGAATGGATAAAACCATTCACTACGCCACAGCCCCTGGATCTTCCCTCTTGCAGACTTTGTTTGTGGAGCAGGAAAGCTGGCTCTGCCTGTGGGGATTTTCAGTGGCACAGCAACCTCCAAGGCACAGATCTGTTCTCAGTCTGTGCTGTCACTATTCCAGCTCCTGCAGAAACACCCTGACAAGCTGAAAGCGTGCTCTGTGCCCGGGTATAAAAAGTGGCAGCTGCTGCAAAAATGAGGGTGAGTCCAGATCAGCAATGCCACCTCAGAGACAGCTGAATGCCTCGGGGCAGACGTGCTGGTTCTGTGCTGAGGACCCCAGCCATCCTTTTAAAACTGACCCAGAAAGCAGCCGGCTCTGTCGCTGAGACACGTCCACGTACCCCAGCACACCTGGAAATGAGCAGAGCTGCGCTCAGTCCATCAGCCTCTCTCTCCCTCTGGGAGCTAAGAATGCAAACACTGGCTCCAAAACGTTTTAGTTGGAAACGCCAGAGCAGCCTGGGACTGTGTAAAATCACACATTTATCGTTCTTAGGAGGTTTATTCACTGCCCGACAGTCATTGCAGTTAATTCCTGAAACACTGTGTTTGAAATGTAATCACAGCTCAGGACTTTCCAGGCTTTTTGTCATAAACGTCAGTATCGGTCCCATTTAAAAAGTAACATTTCCAAATATTCATGAAATCAGTGTTTAGAACCCCAAACCGTCCATGAAGCGACAAGGACTTGCCAGCAAAGCCTGTGGGAGCTCCACAGGTTGGTCCCTTTCGTTTGTGTTCCCAGTGGGAAGCAGGGATGGATCTGAGGCTGCCTGGGGACCAGCACACAAGTGACACCCCCAGGGTCAGGCTGAGGAGGACTGTAAAGGTAATGAAGGGGGAAGAAGATGTATTTACATCAAAGTTACAGCCAAAATAGACCTTAAAGGCAGAAGGGGTCAACAGAAGTTCTCTGACTCTTTACATGACCAAGCAGGGAGTTCCACTGCCCACTTTCTGCACCCAGCCCAGGGGAATGCTCCAATGAAATGTTACAGCCAGGTCACAATCAGTGAGAAATCGTTAAGTTACTATTTTTACATATATATCTCAGAAACAGTAGGATGTGTAACCTTTGCTTAGTTGGTGATGGGTAGGAGGAATAAATCAAATATGTTTAGTTTGTTGTTCAGAGACACTTGTACAAATTCAGGGATGCTGAATATTTTTTTCCATGAAGTGAAGTTCATTTTTTTAAAAGGTTTTTTTCAATTCAAGGTACTATTTGGGAGAAAAGTCAATAAACAAGAAGAGATTAGTTTCCTGTTTTGTATTAATCCTCAAGCTATTTATTTTGTATTTCTGTAAAAAAAGAGCAATTGTTTAAAGACATTTTAAGTTTTCAGAAGTTTATTCATCTAAGTTTATAGCACTAATGCTTAGCTCTGTAGCCTGTAGATAATTAAGTTAATTGGGGCTGAATGGATTACAGCCCCTCATGGACTGGAAGCACTGGGGGGCACTGGGGAAACACGGGGCTCAGGAAAGCTTTGGCACCCACCGCGTGAGACACCAGCCCACGGGGGCTGCTGTGGCACCATTAAAACTTTTTGCATGAAAAAGGCCGAGAACGTTTCTTTTCACTTTCTTGTTGTTTCAGGTTGTGCCTGCTGGGAACCGAGGGCAAGGGGAGGGGGGGTGACCCGGGAGAGAGGGTACCTGGCTGCAGGTATGAAGTGGGATGAAAAGTCCAATCCCCGAGGCAGGACCCAGGAAGGAATCAACAGTGGTGAGACCTCAGACATGCAATGTGTCACAGCACAGTCACATCATCATGGCCCTTGCCTTGTGTCACAGCAGTCCCCAGCTGCCAGGGCCACCCCTCTCCCCCAGCCAGGCAGCACCAGGCTCTTCAGTTAAAGCCTTGGGCTGAACCGGGTCTGGAGGGAGCTGAATGCAGCTCCCTGGAGGAAGGAGAGGAATTCCAAGCATATTTATTCCAATTTGTTTCTGAAGACTGCCCACAGCTGGAAAGGAAAGGTCTCCAGGGCAACTGCTTCAAGAGAAGCCAAAGCACCAAAGGAAAATAATTTTATAAAAATCCCTGTTTAAAAGAGCAGAAGCAACTCAAATGCAAACTCAGGTTGGTTTGGGTGGATTTTTTTTATTTTTTTTATTTTTATTTTTTTTTTTTTTTTTGTACAGAACAAATTCTCCCTTTGTTTAATACAGATGATTCAAAGTCCCTCCACGAACCTCCTCAGTGCCAGTTACACACCAGTTCAATGAACCAGGTAAACAATTGTGTCCCCAATGTCCCTCGTCAGGCCGTTCTCAGTGACACAGACGTGCCTCCGGGCCAGGTCGATGTGGAAGATGGCTTGTTCCAGGATAGGAGTTTTCCCTGCTTCCTCTTTGCCAAGGACTGGAACACGGCGGGGCCCAAGCACGGGATCATCAAACCTCATCAGCTTCACTTTAGAGAGATCTGCAAAGAGACAGCAGCTGCTCAGGCCACGGGAGCTGTACACAGGCCACAGCACCAAACAGAGCTAACCACAGCAATGCTGAACCCTTGGAACTTCCACACCTGCTCCAAGGAAATAAGATTCTCATCTCTCATGTTAAAGGTTTACACCGATACAACGTCCTTCAGTGGCTACACAGCGAGTTCCCAGCAGAAAGGGGGATAAACACACAGAAAACACCAGCTCCTAATACCACATTCCAAGCACTGAATTTGCTTTATCTGGATCAGGACAGGTCTGAGTAAGCGAACAGTTATTCCTCATTTTCTGAGGAATGAACTGCAGAGACTGTGAGGAAGAGGAAGGCGAGGGTTGATTTTGATGCAATTCCTTACCAAAAGGCAGACTAATAATATTGCTAAGCAGACCAAGGAGCCCGGGACCCTTCAGCCAAACCTTCCTGTGAGTGCAGCCTCCTCCAGGCCTGTGCCCAACAGCACACTGACACCTTCTGGGAAGACAGGGAGGGAGTCCCTGTTTCATCTCACTCATTTCCAGCCATTCCCAAAGCTCCCGCACCAGGAGCTGGCAGAACTCCTGTCACAGCCCTGTGAGCACCCCCTCTGCAGGTGGCACAGCTCTACACCTGTCCTGGGGGCTACCTTTGATCCCTCTGTCCATCTTCATCAGGCGTCTGATGATGGTCTCCCTGTTGTCCCCTTGCCTGATGTCCATTTTTGTGGAGAAGTGGCCGTTGGAGGGCTGAGGGTTCACCAGAAACACCGACACACCAGGCTGTGAGAAACAACCCAGACCTTAAAGGAGAACCTGTGCACGTGATCCCCCAGGAGAAACATGAAACTAAACCAAATGAAACATCTGCTGTTAATAAATCTTCCAGAGGGATAAAATCCCTTTAGAACCTGCCTGGCCACGCTGGACACCAGCACTGCCCCAACTCTAAAATGAGGCCCAAAGTGCAACAAGGGTTTAAGACGTATTAAGGGAAATCAATGGCATTTTTATTTCAAGAGTTAAAAATATTCATACCTGAAAAACATTCATGTCTGATCAGTTTTTAAATGGCATATTTTAAGAAAACCCAGACAAAAGTAAAGTTTCAAGTTAAGTTTTTTAATCAAGTTTTCAGACTTCCAATACCTGAATTTCTGATTTTACCTCAGTTCTGAATATAGAAAATGGTTTTCCAGGACAGCAGTCTTCTTTGATTTTATCTTCTGCTTCAGAAGCAAATTTCACCTCAATGTGGTCCAGCTGTAAAAGAAAAAATGGGGGAGGAGGGGACAAGCAGGAGTTTAATGGCTTTAGAGGGAACAGCAGAGGTTACAGCCCCATCACACATCTGTTCACGTAGGAAAGGGGAAAGCAAACCTGCACTGACATAAAGCAACAAAAGCACACCTGAACCCACAAAACCTTCTTTG